TTGCAATAGACCACGGTAAAAGTTGATAGATTTGACAACTTTGGGTGGACACTGACATTTTGGTGCCACAAGAGTGTGAAACTCAAATTGTACCATACCAGAGACCCAGATGTGGACCAATTTGAGAGGTTAGGTGTTTCAAAAGGTGTGTTAAAGTTAACCCTTTAAAGCCTGACTTAGTGTCAAGTCTCTTATGGGCCTTTTAAAAACAAAAAAACAAAAAAAAAGTGATTTTTTTCATATTTTTCATTTATTACCGTACGATACGTCAAATTTATTTTCAGAAAATCTTCTTTCCACTGTTATCAGGTACATATCATTGTGTACAATAGAGTTTTGAGAATATCTTTCACCATTAAACGATTCAAAAAGTCCCAGATGCAAAAGATTTTAGAAACTGTATGTATCAAATATGCTGTGATTGATCAAACTTAGCAAGATTACACACATGGATGGATGGTATCTGGGTACTCTGGCTTTCTCTCCTCTTTCTCGATTGTGTGTGGTCAGTGTGAGGTGTTTCTTCATCTGTGTGGCCTGAGAGGGACTGGGAACCTGTCAGGATGGACCCAAAAACAGATAAAGACAGTCTTGTGCCCCAGTTTTTATAAAAATCGATGGATGGATGGATGTCAAAGATGACTCTAAACCGGAAAAATAAGGTCTACTATTGCACAAATAGATGCTCCATGTCTATTTACCTGACATTTGTCTTTTTGTGCCAGTAGACATTAAGAGATAAACACATGATGATATACAGATGTTTAATAAATGGAGAAATATAAGGGAAGGAAAAATGAGGGTGGTTCACCTCTGTTTTGGTGTTAAAATATTCATTATTGTGTTTCTAGTTATAAGTGCATCATTTTAGAAACCTTGGTCTATGTTGGATCACTGAGTCAAAAGGATGAGAATTGAAAATTGAAATTAAGGACTCAAAGTACAAGCTACAAAAACTCATTAGTTTGGCCAAAAGGTAGATTTAAATAAAGTGCTTTCTTAGCAAGTGCTTATTGGAACTCTTGTTACATGCCAAGGTTTGTGGGTTGTTGATTGCTGTAAATGAAACAATCCATAAATAAGAAAATCTACTGTTGCACTTTTAATTAAAAATAGCCTAAACAGTCAAAGTCTCCAAATCAAACTACACGGATGTCCTTAGATAATAAACTTGAATGTTCTGGAGTTGAAAAAATATCAAAACTGGTAGGTTGTTTGCCTTTTGCAGATTAAATGTAGCAAACTAATTTATGAACTAAAAATGTCCAGGCTGTTTTATGTTTAATTTTGAATGCTTGATCTCTATCCAGCCATTAAAATGTGGAATACTTTCATTTTAAGGAATACGTGCCACCATTTTGGTGTGTTGAATCCAAACTAGCCAAAAAGGTTTTCAGTTTATTATTCTTTTCTCTTCCAGAGCGTAATCAAACAATTTAAATGTTGACAGAGAAACTTTGATCCTGAATATCCAGAGAGAAAACTCATTTTTCAGCTCTTTCATTTAGAACATGGCACTCACTCGGCTTAGTTTTTTATTTTTTTTGGCAGAAGTTCAGGTCCCAGAATGTTGAACACTAACTGTTCTGGAGCCGGTGTGGTCTGAAACTCTCTATCCCCTCCTCTATAATTCATCTCATACTCTGAGGGAAGCTGATTTTTATTCACTTTATTGCATGCCTCTGCTGTGTAGCTCCATATGAAACCGTTTTTATCCAGAATCAAACTTTAGCTTTCGGTGTTATTTTATTTGGATTCATGTTGGATGAGTTATGAGCGTGTGGATAATCCTGCTGTGAGTTTTGGCCTGACTTACACGGCTGCTCCATTTGGATGTATTTGTAACGCGATCTAACATCTGCAGACTCGGCACATTTGTGACCTCCATCTGCTGAGATAATACCTAATCTGTTGTTCAACCCAGAGATAAAACGCATATTTTGGCCCAGGACACTCGTGTATCCTCTGCCTTTTTCCTTCTGTCATTTAAATTTATCTATTTAATGTCTAGAACTGATTCTTAATTGTAAAAAATGTTGCAAAAAAAGTGCGATGCCATCATTTGTGAGGAATAATATATATTTACAAGTACTAATAAGTATATCTATATATATAGATGCTTTTTTATTATATATAAAAACCATAATAAAACATAATATTTAAAAAAATATACATATATGTATATATACATGTACACTCTACAAGTTGTGCAGCCCACAGTGCAACAAAAAAGGCATTTTATTCACAATATTCACAAGTTTTGTTTGTTGTTAAGATAACATTAACACTGTACTAATGCATTGTACTAATCTACATCTTGTGATTTTCATAAGGAGCCTATTTAAAGATCAAACCGAAACTCTCACACGTTCTTGTACTGCAGCGTAACTATTGGACAGCAAGCTGCAGTTAAACGTGCCCAGAAGCTGACGTTTATTCATGAGATTGTGATTTGTGCATTCTATACAGGGACCAGTCCAGTACGTATCATTTAATTAATCCAACGCATGAGCAGTCAGGGCCAATTTAAATGCAACTTCCTAACAAAGCCAAGTAGAATAAAAATGGAAGATTTGTTATTGGGTTTGATGCTGTAGCATTGTGAATCCTGGCTTTTTTTTTTTTTAACATGAGCTTAATTACTGTAGGTGTCAAAGGTGGCAGACTTATTTAAGCTTTCATTCATTTATTCATTGAGATGTTGAGATGAGATTGTTTAGTTTTGACCTGAGTTGGTCATTTCAGCTATTTCTTCATAAATGTTTCATAATGGAGTTCCTACAAGAAGTAGAAGAGAAATTATATAATATTTATAAGAGCGTTTCCGTTTCCAAGCAGTGTTTTGTTAAAGAAGCCAAAAATATGTTCACGTTTATTTTTTTAAAATATATAATTTAAGGCCACATGGCTCCAAGGCTACATGCTAACAGTAATAGCAGATGAGCAGGTTTTGTGGAGGACAGTATGCGCAGAAACAAAGAGCAACTGTAGGTCCGGTGTTGCCGTTGCCGTTGCCGTTGCCGTTGCCTTTGGGCTGGTCCTGTCAGGGATTGCCGCAGTGCATCAGCTTTCAACCACTTGATGGGTTTGGAGTTTTTTTGCACTAGATGCCCTTCCTGACAGGGATCAATGTCCTACCCAAAGGCACATGGACATGTAGCCTGTGATGGAAGCATCTGTACTTACCTCTTGGCGTGTAACTGCTCTTACCTTTTACCTTTAACCCCATCATAACCCCACAAATATGTGGTTTCCTATTATTGTTGAGTTCTTAATTGCAGTGTTTCAACAGGATAAACCAAAACAGTGAAATCATGAGATATGTTGAGGGTGTGTTTAGCCGTTATTACAGACATGGGAGCCAGAAATAGTTAACAAAATGGCCATGTTACTTGATTGTTATAGAAAATGAAAGAAACTGCAACATTAAAGTACTTTTACTTATGAAAAATGAATAGATAAAAATAGTTATGCTTGGATTCCTCATCATAGATGCAGCTCCTTTGTATGCTAAATATAAATATGCTAAATAACTGTCCCATATCACCTACTAAAATAAACTTTTAATTAGAAGAAAAGAGAGAAATGTCAGCCAGCATTTTCTGGAGAGTCTTTTAAAACGTTCCCAGCTCTGTCTGTTACCTTTTTACCAATAAAGTTCCATATGCAAAGACTTATACAATGAGATAAAAGATGAGAAAAAAAACATCCAAACACAGTATACAGTTAACTTTTATTCGTATCAAAATCACAAGATGTACATTAATGTTAATCTCTATCATTCCAGCCATAATATTAGTACACATGAATTCTATTGCCTTATTGCAATATCTATCACTCCATTAATGCCTACAGTTCTGTTAGTTCCCACCACAGGAGTCTAAGAAAAGATGTTCCAAAATATTATGCTCAGTTCGAAGTGAATGCAAAGTGAATAAGACGTTACAGAAACACTTTTCCACACTTCCCAAAAATAAAACCCATGGCCCCACTGGAGGTTTCGGGGCTATCAAAGCAGCATCAATCCATCAGCCTCATCAGATCCAATCAGGCTCCCGACTGAGCCCCGGCAATATTCATAGAAACTGGCAAGAAGCAGTGGGGAGGACAAAACAATGTTTATTAATAATTAGAGCTGTACTTCCAGTTCACAGCACTTTTTTTTTTTTATATCTGGGAAACAGCGGGAGAGGTGCGTTCAGGATCAATCCCTTGATTTGCGTAACTATGCTCCCACTGGAAATTAAAAAATGGGCCTGAATAAACCATCTCGAACCAGCTCCGAAATTGATCCACACTAATAAGAGTATAGAATCTCATTCAAAGTATCTTTTTTTTATTATTTTGTCCTCAATTCCGAAGCATGAATGCTGCCAAGTCTCTTCCTCATGGCTCCAATAGGCAGATTGGCTCCTTTATTAGACGTACACATGTTCAATTTTTTTCTTTTTCTCAAAGTTTATATAACTCGTCTACATGGTGCTTTTCTGCTAGCCCTGCTTTGAATCTGGATATGGTAATGCTAAAAAATAGCAACAAACAGGACTAGTTTTGTAGTCCTACAGCCACCTGGGACTCAAAGGGGCTAATAAAAACTAAAGGATCTCAGTTTAGATTGCTTGTCTAAAAAAAAAAAACTCCTTTCAAAGATTACCCCCCGACATGTTAACTCATTGACTGCCAGAGTTTTTTTGAGCATTTTGATTGATTTTTCAAGAGCCACAGAATAGTTTGTGCTATGACTATGTAAACACCGAACACACCAAAAGAAAGAGTAGACTCTCTTCTTTCATCAGGAAAAAAAAAGTGTTTCTATCTTATTCCGTTCTTCCTGGACTTGCGTCTCACCGGCGACACGTTCTCTCATAGCGAACCGTTAGCTTTTTCTTATTTGCCTACAGTCTATGCTCATCTCCCATCAAAAGTGGCACTGCCCCCTAGAGGGTCAATTTGTTACTACATACTCTGTCTAGAAGCCTGATATTTACGGACAAGCTTTAGCAGATCGTCCCCCAGACACTCTCGTTGAAAAAAACATAAAAGACGTCTATAGACGTCTTTGGCAGCCAATGAGTTAAAGGTGCCCGAAATGCCTCATCTGTGTTGCACGTTACTTGTATTGTCATTTCATAGTAATAATAATATTAATCCTTGATGGTGGTGAACATTTGGGGAGTTCAGGTTGCGTTAAAACCCTCCAGAATCGAGTGTTGACTAAAATCGTGCCCTGAGTCCTGATTTTTTTTATTTAACAGCAGAAGAGAGAGAACAAAGTCTGGTCTGAGTAATGTTACCGCAACCCATCAGTGCATTGGAACATAAAGGAGCCATGCGGGGAGCAGACTGCCATCTGAGTCTATCTCCGTTTCTACAACCACTATCACTCTATAGAAATAACCAATCAGATCGAAGGACATTACCACCTAACACGACACAGTTTGAGCAATGGTTCCCATCAAGTACACACAAATATTCAAATTGAAAGAATCGTACAGAGATGTTCTAAGACTGTATATTGCTACGGAGGAAAAATACTTGACAGCAAGTGATGTTTAAATAGACAACATAGAGGAAAACCATAAATGAGCAGCACTGGTTTAAGTCAGATACATGACAGCAGAGATCTAACCAGATTAATAGAAACTAGTCGTTGATAAATACAGAAAAATGTCTCACCGTATCAGGTTTATCAGGATTAACAGATAACGCTGACGGAGGTCTGGAGTTTGCACGTATCGCAAACAGCAAATCTGAAAAATGGAAGAATACGGGAGTTGAGAGAAAATGCTAAGTTTCTCCTTTTTATGACGACATGATCAAGTACAACTGAGGTAGTTTCCTCATCTAAATAATGCTTAATACTTTAATTCATCCCACAGAGATCAGCAGCACAATGAGATCAAAATCACTTTGCTCACAAACAGAACAAATAAATAAAGTTATTCATTAAATCAAATGATCGTTATTAGTCTGACAACGATCTATTGATTCATGTTAAACATGACTAATTATGCTATATTGACATGTAGCAAGCAAAGTCATTACAGAGCCATAAAAAACAAACGAAAGTCAATTGAATTCTAATTGGGAGAGAAAACTTAACTAATGCTCAATTAAATGAGCTGCGTTTGTAATGTCCACAAATAAAAACATCGGAGGAAGAAAAACTGGATAAAACTGAAGTATTGGCAGAAGTGTTCAGGTGAATAATGCGCCCTCAAAACAATAGGCTGTTATTTTCAAGTGAACATTTGAGTCATGAAGTCTAAAACCATCTCACAGACACTTCACAAATCACTCTTTCTAAGACGAATAGGGTTTGATATAAGACGGAGACAAATACTCACGTACCTCAAGTATTATCTTTTCAATCAAAGGTTCACATTGGCTTAACACACTAAAAACTGACAGTGTCATAAATATCCATAAAGGATTTCAAAGCACGTACTCACAAATTCATCATCATTTCTGACGATTGATAATCAACTTGTCGCTTTCCTGATTTTTTTATTTAGCAAAAAGGAAAAATGACCAATATGAGACAACGTTTTTTCCTGGAAATGCAGTGCATTTTTTAAATCGAATATTTAACAGCAGGAAAAAACTAAAATTCCATGAATCTCAGAAGTGTAATAATAAAATGGTCGCAATGTAGCAGAAGACAGAAAAATGCTGATATGCGTCTCAAGTTAAAGAACTTTAGTCGGAAAAATAGCTCCTTCTATGTTGGCTTAAAAAAACCCAAAAAACAAGTCCTTCAACACATTTCCCAGTGTGGGAACTGTGATTATTGCCCTCGGCTAAAAAGCAGTTACAAACTTAGAATATTCTCTAAAAACTGCTACTGAAATAATTGATATTTACATTTTCACAAACCTTATTAGCTATTTCAAAACGGACAATGTTCTGATGGATACATTAGGATGAAAAAAGTCTTAGCATCTTAGTCCTTTACGCTTGTGCTGCAAACTAAGAGCTACTCAAAAATGCTCCAAAAAATTATTTCAGACCAGCGTAGTTCAGCATAAAGTTTGATGTGAATAAGTGCTAAAGGGGACCGGTCAACCCTGGCCACAACACAAACACTTATCATGTCCTGGAAAGCCCAGATTTGAAATAAGGAAGCATTTATGGATTACCGACTCATGTTGTGTGTTTTTAGTGTTTTTTTTACTCTATAAAAATCAAATTTCAAACCCAATAGTAATCTTCATTCCACAGTGCTCCTCTGCATTGACGTAATGAGAGGTTATAGAAAAAAAAGTCCTGACTTTTTCCTTATTTTTCCCTGTCTTTGTGAGGACGTTTGGCCTGAAGCCTGAAGAGGAGGAGAGTATATAATGGAGGACACGGCCACCTCAGCAAAAGCTTAAAATGAACCAATGTAAATGTCACTCACCCTATCTGACTCACAGCACACTGTGGGAGGTCCTAACTTTTAAAAAGAAGTACGTAATGATAAGAAATGGACTCCAAAACCAACAAGCAAACGACTAAAACCAACAGAGTGGTGCTGTTTTAAAGGGGTTATTCAGAAACGAGTCAGTAAGCGTATCAATATCAGTTGATTGGTTGTGAGTGGTGCCCTGTAGCTAATGATGTCACCATGGTCACTGAGCCATGGCTTTATTCATCTAATCATTTAATTATTCATATACAAGCCCGTGCCATCAAATTTGCAGTTCTAAGTTTGCTGTCTACCACGGGAAGTGTGCATTCTAATTCGGTAAAATTCAGCCAGAAAAAAGTACATTTCAGGTTTGCTAATGGTATTATGCTTCAAAAGACAACAATGGAGGGAGGAGACCACTAAAACATCATATAACAAAGACTTGATACCTCCCCTACCACTCCTTGATCATTTCAATTCAATTAGAAATCCTAAAAACACACTTAAATTGTTCAAATAAAATCAAAATTCTATGTATACTGTCTGTCTACGGAGTCGATGTATAGAGCTGGTGGCATTGACTCCTGATAAAATCCCTCTAAAAGGGCAGCTATGCACCTACACATGCAGTGCAAACACACAGGTACGGAAAAAGGCACCTGAAAAAGAGAAAAGACTAGCTAAAGCCGGCCGGGAGGCGATGATATGGAACCATGCACGGGTGCGTCTAGAAGTCGCGCTACAGCTTAATTCGATAAGACTCTAGAAAAAAAAAAACAGTTTACAGTTCAGCTCCACCCCAACATCCAAAGGCTGTCACGAAGTCCCACTGAAAATACGAAGGCCTTCAGTTCTGATCTACAGTATGTTGTACCGTGAATACATTTCTAAATAGAAAAACAAGGGATTTGTCCTGAGTTAACAGTCTGTACAAAACAGTATTACATTTTCCCGAAGTGTTCAGGAAATAAATCTAAACAGATAACTGTTAGAATCTCAATATGACTAAATAGATACTGTGGAGAGATGTTGAAAACCTGTCTACTGATGTTTCATTAGTTTATTTACATATAAGCTCTACTTCCTTTGCAAGTAACTTCCACACCTGATAAAGAGTTCAGCTTCTCTCTTATAAGCTTCCATCTTAAAAGATCAGATAGGTTGGCTAAAGGCAAGGCAAAAAAAAAAGCATAAATAAAGCCTCCAAAGTTAATAAGGAGCTCTTTCTTTTTCTCTCCTGCCACTCTTGAATCTAACATCTCCTCTCATCTTAAAAAAAATCTAGCCTTAGTCAGCAACTTTGACACATTTAGGCTACAATGATGAGTCCCTCTTTTCCTCGTCCCCTCCTTTCTCTTTTCTCTGACGGATAGGCAGAAAGTGAAAATGGGTACAGAGCGCACCACGGCGTGGTTCTACAGGCCGGAAATCTCGCCGATTCCATAAAAGAGATATAGATGAACAAAACAAAGAAATCCTGACCACGCTCTGCTGCTCCTGCTTTTTCCAGCTCTGCCAAACGGCCAGAGTCTGGGAGCCGCTCAGGAAGGGGGAAGGGAGGACCCCCCTTTTTTTTTTTAGATCCAAACACCCTGTCAACGCTCAACAGTAGGCTCAGATTTGGAGAAACCGGGCGAGAAGCCGCCGGAGTGGTCACAACAGGTCATCGTAGTCCAGCAGTTTGGAGTGCTGCCGGCTCTTCCACAGGCGGAACAGACGGAAGTCGAAGTAGGTCTCGATCATCTCTTTGCCTGAAACGGGAAGATAACGGACAGGGTTACAAACGGCACGCGCTTAGGAAAAAATACGCAAGCTAACCGAGCGTCTGTAAAATTATTCAATTCCACCTGGGACCCTTTTGTACGACACACAGAATCTCTTCATTATAACTCTGAAGAACTGGGGGTTGTATAGGAGAGAGGGTGTTTTTTTTTATTTATTTTGTGTATATATTATTTTATTTATTTTATTTAATTAATTAAAAATTTTTTCTTTCCTTCTGATTTTCTATCTTATTTTATTATTTTTATTTATTGTTTATTTTTGTTTATTTCTCCCCAAAGAGTGAGCGTGTGTATGTGTGTGAATATTTGTGTGTCCTGTCTGTATGGTCAAGAAGGCCTGTAAAGGGGAGGGTGGGGGTTGCTGGGTATTGTTTTGGGTTGTTTGCATACAGTTGTGCTACTAAATGTGCCATCTTCATACTTTGTACTCTGTATGTTATTGGTTTAAAAAATGTTCAAAAATAAAGTCGGAAAAAAAAAAAAAAAAAACTAACCGAGCGTCACAACCAATGATTCAGACTCAGGCAAAGTCTTCTTTACCATAGTTTTTGTCTTCAGGGAAAACTTGTGTTTTTGTATTACTGTATTAAAAAACTAAAGGCAAAAAAAACAACTACTGCGGTGGACATTTTCCTCGAACCTGAGGATGTGCAATCAATCAATCAATCAAGTTTAATTGTATAGCCCTTTACAATACCCAAATGGTACTCAAAGTGCTTTACAACAAAGCCATAAAACAATACAAAAAACATACAAAACATACAGAAACAACTAAAATTGCTGTAGTGGTGCAGGGCATTAAAAGCCTTCCAGAAAGGAGCAGACAGAAGGAGGAAACCTAAGAGACCCTAGTCCCCATTAAATGCTAATTTAAAAAAGTGGGTCTTAAGCTTTTTTAAAAAAAAGGCTGAGGTCAGTAGTGGTGCGGATGTCAGGGGGTAGTTTGTGCAGATTTCCTTTGAGTTATTTGTATTTGTGAGGTCTTCTGATGGTGACCCGACTAGGTGTAACCCGCCATGATTGTGCGTACTCTGAGAGATATCTCGTGTTAAAAAGCGGAGGACAGTTGACTTGATTGATTCCCGGCTGGCGACCGGACTGGAAACAGCCGGTGAGTCACGTCATTAGAAGATTTGAAAGGTCAGATTGTATTTACAGACTCGTTTCCTTGCTTTCAATTGTGTATCAAGCCATTTTTTATGCAACAGGCAAAGAGATCTCAAGAGAACATATACTGTACGTTTTTGAAAGAGGACGATATCTCTTTTTATGCTTACTTTCGCCATTTTATTATTATTTTTTTAACAAGCAAACCAAAAGTGGTGATGCAGACCTGCCTACAGTGATTCAGCGAGAGGACAAGTCCTTTCAAAATGTCAAGAGCTTTTGGAGAGATTTAAAAAAAGGTTAAAAAAATTCTGAGCTTTTAAAAGCCTCACAGGAGGGAGGGATTTTGTGTATACTTTAACTTTTGCAAAAACCTGTCTGACAGGACTGGACTAGCATTGGCTGGGACACAGCAAACATGAAAAAGGCACGTGAAATAGGGCGGATGGCAGCTTAATTAATCACTGTGAAGGTTTTGATGAATGAGAGTCATTTTAAACGATTTGCTGACAATAATGTGAGTGGGGCGGAAGAACCTCGGTTATACAGGACTGGACTTTTCTCTTTTTTTTCCTCTGTAATGAGCTATATGCATAGATTTACACTTTACATGAAGGGGCTCCATCAGATGGTGCAGACTTTGCCGGGGTTATACAGCTAGAAATTTAGTTTCTGTGCAATTAGAAAATCTCCTAACTGGTCAGTAGAATAAATTGTTGAGTGCTTATATTCCTCATATTTATACGTTTGCTGCTGAAGGATGGAGAGACTCCTTCTTTTTCTCAAATGCCTACCCTCTACTGATCAAGTGCAAAGCTTGATCTGCTACCACCCACCATTCCAAAAAAAAGTAGGTGCAAAGTGCAGGAAATGTCATCAACAAAATTTAAAAAAAAATGTTCAAGAAGAGTTTAAGTACAATATATCATCACCAAAGTAGTGGTCCTGTGTCTGTATAGTAGTCTACAGGAACAGAAAGATGATTTCCCAGCAAAAATTCCATAGGGACCTGGGTTTTTTTTTATTTTAATGTGAAAAAAACAATGCGACAGTTGGATTTTCTGCCATTTTCCTGTTAATGCAAAGATCTCAGCTCAAATGACTAAATCTTTAAAGGTCTGTCTTTTGATTGAGCAACATGACCACGTGATTTGATCAATTTCACCCAACCATTTTTCGTTTAACATTAATTCAATGACACGATGACGAATTACAACTTATCAGGAATGTGCAGTGCTTCCTGACCTGAGCAGAATCTAATTGGTTTAGACAATGGACAGGGTTTAGCAGACATAGAACCACTGCACTGGTTCAAATAAAAGACAGGCCTGGTATTTCCTCCTCAAAATGGTTACTGCACCTTCTTACTCCAAAATATCAACATTTTTTAAAATATCCTCCTAGTGGAAGTGAATGAGTACAGATTTTGGGGTCAGGAGTATCTATATTTCACAAACAGACTAATATGCTATTGCTCAGTGTTACTTCAGTCTCAGGAGTTTGTCCCACTGCCAACTTTTTAATGTGCTGACAACAGTCCCATTAACCATATTCAGCACGGTGGCCTTCTGTGTTTTTCGGTGTTTTTTTGCTTCTATCGCATCGTCCTTTGTAGTCAGTGCCATTGATAAATCAGGTTTACTGCTGACATAAACAGAAGCCAAAAACAGAGGCTTGCAAATGGAATCCAGAGGCAGTGATGCTGCAGACAGATTTAAGAACCACGTTTGTAACTATGTCCACAGTCTGTAGCGACCAGAAAACACCATCTTAGAGTGGTATTTACATTAACAGTCCTGCTTTACTGTGCATAAAATCAAATGTAAAACAAATAAAACGAATGTAAAACATACTTTTTGTCTTCCTTTTCCTGTATTTCAGTAAAAATACTGATAGATCTGAGATTACCCCTGACACTAGTGCTTCTTTAGAGTAACACAGGTTGTGTACGGAGAAAAAAAATTGAAAAAAGGTGGAGATGAATCAGAAAAAAGTGGGTCAATATAAGATGAGAGAACATGCAGATGAGATAACCGTGTTTTGTTAAACGAAAAGATAGTCATCAATCAATTCATCGATAGAAATCGGTAGAATGACTGATTAGAGGAGCGTCGAGAGCCCAGTTCCCTCCTTTCTGTTTGCTCTCACCACCTAATGCGCTCTTTTTATTTCAGAGTGGGCTCACAGACATTGATTTATGCTCACTATCAACATTCCACCGAGTCCTTCTGAGGCCCAGTGCACAAAATCATTACAAATGCTGCATATATATTTTTCTAATGCGTTTCAATAAGTAGGCACAACTCCTCAATGTTATGGGCGCAATAAGCAATAATCTCCATCTTTGATTTGTACACCTAATGTTGTCTCCTGTCCCAGGAGCTAAAACTCTTTGAGAATCTGCGTGCTGTGCGCTCACCTTGTGCCGAAAGCTCCAGAGGGGACTTGAATTCAACAGAAGACGGTCTCATCAGCCTCTTCAGAGTCTGAATAAGCTGCAAAAAAAGGGAAAATAAAGAGCAGGTTGTTTTACAGACTGTCAGGAATTGGGAAATGAAAGCAAATAAAGCGATGATGAGACGCTTGGGTTTTGGTTGGTAGCTGGCGCTGCAGTACTTCCTGTCCAAGCAGCACGGCTACTGACGGTCTCTGGAAATCTCATGAAGCACGGAATGGAGAGCTCAAATATGTAGAGAGCTGCCAGTTTAGAGATTTTACTAAAAATGGATGCCTATGACCTTACCAGTAACAAAAAAGTAGCACTTTCCAATGGTTCTATTGTTATTTCGGTTGTAAATACCAAAGGCTGCAAACAATCTTTGATTGTTAAAAACTCATCTATGTTATCTGAAATACTCTATTTAATAGATTATTTTTTAATATATAAAGAAGTTGTTTTTTGTGTACACACAGTATAAAACTCATTGATTTAAAATGGCTCAGGGCTTTCCCTTCACTTTTTGTCATTCAGTGACTGGAGATCTATGATACTAGTTGGAATGCCAGCTACCACTACAGTCATTCCCAGTTTTCTCTGAAGTTCTTGTGATTAAGACCTTTTAACTTGTGACTTCCCAGCATTAAATGTTAACTTCCCAGAGAGCAAGTCTTGAGAAGCTAAATCGCTTGAGATTGTGTGCAAGTAGAAGAATAACATGGAATTATGTTCACTATCTATGGATTTAAACAAGATTATGGGGGCATTGCTTGTTAGCCAAGGGTTTTAGCGCATAGCCTCCCAGCCCCAGACACTAATTGAACCAGCTCACAGGTTCCAGGTCATGCACCTGGTCACCAGAACTCAGCTGCCACTCGCTTCCATGTTCCTGCTCCAGGTTTAGAGGCCCTGACCCATTCGGCTACTACTTCTGTTCCAGCAGCTTCCGGGGTCGGGATCCATTAGCTGCTCAAATAAAGGCTAAATCATAAAGATACCTGAAAGCTAGTTTGGCTTTTCCTGAGCTCAGGTAACTGGGCTAGCTCTTCTAAAATAAATTTTCTGTTTTTATCTTGGTGTGCTCTAAATAACGATGCAAGAGCTGTTTGCAGAATCCTCTAAGTGTCCAGGTCTAAAAAGCGAACAGGAAGAGGGCTGAATGAGCGACAGTTGGAAAAGCTGCGAATGCAAATCCAAACTGTTTGTGAGGATGTCAGATATTCCCGTATTCCAGTCAAGATGACCCAGTTTACCATCGTAGGGGAAACAGTTTTTTTTTTAACTCCAAGCAGAATCCAAGAGGCAGCTTTTTGAATTTGAGTTGAGAAAACGTATCGGGAGACTGGTGAGGATGTAGTCTGTTTAGTGCTCTTTTTGAAGCGCTGCTGTGATTGGATTTCACATGGAATTAGATGGACGAAGTGCCCTGTAAAAAAAAAAATCTGCTGTGATCGTCCATGATCCAGAGAAGCTCCCCATAGCAGGTCTGTGTCTGTGCAGCCGAGGGCTTGTCGATTTAGACGATAGTGCCTGCCTTTGGCCCTGTCTCCACATGTCTAGCACCACCTCCTCTCCCCTGTACCACCTCCTCCTCCTCCATCTCCTCCATGAGTCTCCTGTAATTCCCTGGAGTCTGGTCTAGAGCCAGCTGGTGCACCATCACACACGGAGCCAAGCAGCCAAATGGTTCCAGCTCACGAGAGTTTTTTCTATGTACGCATCAGTTCAAGGAGGGAAGTGTTAGGGAGAGCTGATCTTAACCTTTGGCTTAAAAGTGGTTACGAAAATAGTAACATTTCACCCATCGCTTGACTAACTCCATGACCAGCTATTTTTCTGGTTTAGGTTGGCCTAGGCAGACAAATAAAAATCCTCTAGTAGAAGCAAGTAGGTCAATTGTTCATACTCTTATGTAAGATTCAAAATGGCGTCCTCCTATCTACTGCCCCTGATTGATTGGCGACGTGAGGAAAAAAACAACTGTCAGAACCATCTTTTTCTTTTCAATCACATGTAGCTGACACACAGCTTTTTCTCTCACTGACAAAAACTAAATCTGTATATGCCCTTTAGTGACCAGCCCTAAATCCAGGAGCCAAACGTGACCTCAGAAAGTCTGACCAGTACCAGTAATCAACAGTCATGCAAAGATTTTATATGTGGAGCACAATTTTGTGACAAAAAAGCAGCACTATACATATTCCCTCAACAAAAGAATTAAGAATACTGTATGTATTTTTAATTGTGAATAAGATTTTGCTTTGTTTAATTAAGGAAGACAGAAGCAGTTTATGAAAAGGTTTCAATAGTGTTGGTTGGGGTAAAAACTCTGTTTATCTATAGAGGGAGGAGCTGTTTTTCTTTACTGATGCCCTCAATACATATTTTATCGAACTCTGGATGATAGAAATCGTATTTCTAGGCGTGTGACGGCAGTGAGGCGAAACATTATGAGTACTGACAGCTGAGACGGATAATATCGATCGTCTTATGTCGAAGTCTGCAGGTGTGAGACCCCAGAGACTCTGACGTGGGCCAGGTTGGTCTGGAGACACGACTGGGGTGAAAGTTCTCTGAAATGTGCGGCGGTGGTCAGAGGAGGGACAGAGCCCACAACAGGGTGACCTTTTTGCTGGAGCATAAAAGGTTTAGCGGCATTTAATCATGTAAAAGAAAGAAAGAAAGATAGAAACCTCAAAGAAAATGAGAATCTGTTTAAACACAGCCTGGTATGGGATCGTGTCCAGATGGGAACAGGCCCGACCTGTAGGCGCTGACCTTTTAAGATGGCTGCTGGCTGCCCGTAAACAGGTCGGAGCAGGTAGCTCGTTCTGTGGGTCTATTAATAGCGGGCCTCCAGTCGAGGCGCTAGCAGGCAGCAGCGCGCGGCCGTCGGGGGGGGTGGGGAGGATGTTAAACGCACCAAGTAAGCCCTTCCCCCCCCGCTCACGCTAGACTCGTTCCGAATCGTCTCGGTGGAGACGCCAAATGTCACGGTGGGCCTGCCACGTTTCCCACATGTGCCGAGCGATTCGCTCCTTTAGCGATTGTTGAGCCGCACTCGCCCGGAAAATTAGCGCCATCAAACGTTTAGCTCTCCGGGGAGAAACATAAAAACATCCAGCCATCCCCTTTCTATACCGCTTTTTCCATAGGAGCCTATCCCAGCTGACAACAGGCGGAGTGGGGTACTGTACACCCTGGACAGGTCAGCAGTTCCATCGCAGGGTGACACAGAGACACGCAACCATCCACACTCACATTCACACTCACTGTACGCCTCCAGGACTTTAAGGCGTGCAAGAAAGATCATGTCTGATCTTTCTCACCCTGGTCACAAACTTTTGGAAACCCTCCCCTCTGTCAGAAGGTTGAGGACCATCAGGACCAAAACCACACCATAAAGACAGTTTCTATCCAAAAGCAACTTGCCTCATCAACAAGGCCAGCGACCCCCCCTATTCTTCTCTCACCCCCCTCTACCCCACAAATTTACCCAATACTACGTTCAACATTTTCTGGTTTGTCGTCGGACATTCAATATTTTATTTTATTATTTATTTTATTTTATTCTATATTTTTATTTCTACATTGTATGTCCTTTCTTGTTTCTCATAGAAGTGCTGTGCACCAAACACCAAAGCAAATTCCTTGTAGGTGAAAAACCTACTTGGCAATAAACCTAATTCTGATTCTGATTCTGATTCTGATTCGCTCTTTTGGAAAATGTAGACAGCAACAAACAAGAATGTTTTTGGGTGGTGGGAGGAAGCCGGAGCACCCGGAGCGACACCGGGAGAACATGCAGACTCCACCCAGGTTCCCCGGGGACTTAAACCAGGCACACCCTCGCTGTGAGGCGAGGTGCTAACCACCACAACACCACGCCACCCAGAGAAAACATTAAAGGGGGAAAATGGTGGCATTTTCGTGTCTAGTGCTTATCTAGTATGTAGATTTACTGACGGGCTAAAAAAAACTAATGGTGCATTATTCTGATCAGTGGTTACATGTAGATTTAATGTATAATTAAAGTAACTCAACAATATTTCTTTAGACAATGTGTTGAACACCAAAGTTGGTATTTTCCATAAAAAAGAAAAAATAGACTTAACAATATGATTGATTTAAACCAACAAAGAAAGTGCTTTCAAATGGATAAATGTCATCAAAACTAAGGTTTTTAGTCAGAATTGGTATCAGATGTTTTATTCATCCAAGAAAAAAAGGTATTCCGTCTTCTAACTTCCAACTTGACAGCATTCGGTACATGCTGTTCCAAAGTCTGAAAAGACACTTAACTGATAAACTTAAATAGATATTTTCCTATTTTTCCATTCACCAAACAGATCACATACTGTAAACTCCAAGGTTCTTTCTATTTTTTAAGTAAATTCATAGTTTAAGTAAATTCATCTGTGAAACAATAGCTTTGCTGCAGCATTTAACCAGATTTAGATGAGTTTTGTTCCTAATTCAAATTATACTCATGTAAACTGTTGGAAATGTTGTAGTTGAACATATTTATGTGGATATTAAAGGTTGATTCAGTTAAATAAGGTAGACTCCACATCTTTGGTCATTGTTGATTACTTAAGTTATTTAAGTGAGAATCACTTAAAAATGTTAGATTCTTACAATTGTACATTTAAGATGATTTTACTGGAACTAAATCATTTGATCTACTCTCAATCACTTACTGAGGCATCAAATCCAAAAAAAGTGTTTTAATGACTGTTTGCGTCTTCTTTTTACGACCCTGTAAAAAACGGGAGCGCTTCCAAGATTAATGGTCGCATCACTAATTAAACCGGGCCAAGATGCAGAGGGTGGGTCAACTTGTCCCATCCGTTCTGTTAAAAAACACAATGCCATTAGCAGGAATTACTAATTACCCCTAAAATAAGCAACTATTGATCTCTTTTATAACAAATAGTGACGGTTTCAGAGTTGAGCTGTCATTTGCAACCCATAAGGCTATTATTGTGTTTTTATTTGCCTTTGGCTGTATGAATTGTACAATGTACACTTTCTCCAAAGAAACTATGAACGTACCAGATCTTTTTTTGAGCATGAACGTGTCAAAGAACTGCCTGATACCACAAGATGATCATTTCTTTTACTGTCCTTAACTGTAGTGTCTTTCTCATCTTCAAGCCACACTTAAGTGGATCCTTTGTAAATAGTAAATAAAAACTATTTTCTCACTCCAATAACTAGTCACAGTATGAATATAGTAAGAAATATATATAGCAATAAAAAATCTATGTACCTATGTTGTACGTATGCTTGTAGAACTTGTCGTTGTTTGTGTGGGTGGAAGAATTGGGTCAGGAGGACTTCCAGAAGAGTGTGAACATGATTGTGTGGTCAGGTACTTAAAGCGCGAGCCAGCAGGTGTGTGTGAGCACAGCCTCATGGAGCTGATGTCAGAGTTTTTTTTGGGTTTTTTTCCTATCATTTCAAAGAACTGTGCGCGTTTCCTAATTGTGTTGTGTTGCAACAGAACTGCAGGATCAGCGCGGTGCCAGGTAAGCAAAAGATGGAGCTTATGTTTGAATTCACAAGCCCTCAATCGTCAGTCAGAAAAACTGCTTGCTTTTACAGTCTTTTACCATTCACGGGCAAAAAAAAAAAGAAAAAAAAGTGCTCTGCAAGGCTGCGCAACACCAGAGACAAAACAAACCGACTGTCGAAGTGATTTATGTGCCAGGGATTTCCAAAAGTGTGTGCTGTATGGGCCTTTGCGGTTCATAATGCTCCACACACAGGTCGATGTATCGAATAGAGAATTGGTACGAAACGTGAGAGGTAAGATCTGATCAGATTTTTCCTCTAGAAGTGGCACAAACCTTTTCTCCATTAGCGCTCCCCAGCACGTAGCAGCCCATGATGTGGATGAGGTTAGGCTCAGGATTTAACTTGCTCATCAGCCTGCTGAGTCGCCGCCAGAAACTGGAAAAAAGTTAAAGTAGTCAGCCACACATCGGGGAGAGAGTCCGTTGTTTTTGGTTTTAAACATCGAAACGTGTAACGAAATCCATTCGAATCCAGGCGGGACTTACAGGACCATGTCTTCCTCCTTCTCCACCTTGGCAAACGTGGCCACTTTATTCTTCAGCAGGTACAGATGTCCCGGACCACCCTGAGATAAAGAAACCAGGTCTCACATTTTACAACTTATTATTCCATATGCAGGCATTCATCGAGCCTATTAATGAGAGCTTTTATTCTCTAGTCCAATTGAATCAATTAGGGTAGCAAGAGCCATTTTCAAGCATTAGACAAATCAGACATCCCATCCATTGCAGGTGGTCTCTCCTGTTCCGCTTTTGCTCCAGTACATTACCATATCAACCACTTTTGATTTTCATAGATACCCACCCCTCATTGTTTTGTTTTTTTATGTATACGGGTGTCAGCATGAAATCTACACTGCTGTCTGCAGGATTCTCTGTTTCCCGTGGTGGAATATGTTATATTTTTCTAAATTATTTGTAGTTTGTAGTCATATATAATGCTTAAAAAGTATTGGTTTGATGTCATAACAGAAGTTTGTTTAGAATTACATACATGCCTTTAATCAACAGCATTCTCCACAATACTACTACCAGTTATAATTTCAATTCTTTATTTTAATTTTATAATTTTCATTAAAAAATGTAAACATTGCAACACTATCTCTGAGACAATTCATTTCTATAGTCAAGTATAGTGGTGCTGCTTCATCTTGGGTTTTTTTCTCAAAATGTTTAATAAGAGTTTTAAAGAGTATCTTGTTGTATTTTAAAATTACGGTGAGCATACAAGGTTGTTTGAGTAGTTATGATAATGTTCTAATATTTTACTGGTTCTACATTCATCACTTTGGGTTTTTATTTCTTTTTATCATTATAATTTTTTATATTACTAAATTATAATATAAAACTGTATTTCTATAGGCCTACATATAAACATATGCTGTTGACAAACTAGTTCTAAACTTCATACTTTGGATGTTTTGAAGTTATAAACTGATGTAATAATCGGTGTAGGTGAAATACATCTCTTAAATCATGATTCAGCTTAAAAATATATGTTGAATACAACATGTGTCAAAAAAACATCTCAGTAATGTAAAAGAATTTCTCAAACCTGTCTTTGCTGTCACTCACCTGGCAGAAAATGAGCATGTTCCAGATTCTGCAGCCTTTCCTGTAGGCAGTCAGCTTCTTCTCTATCTCCTCTGAGGAATTGGTGTCAGAAAAATGGAGGGGGTGGGGGAGTGAGAGGGGGGGAGAAGGTGTCACTTTTCCCACTCAGTCATAATGGTGAGAAACCTAAATTGGCTGTCCCTTGATAGGCTCGCGCAAACACACAAGTAGAAAAACAATGATTCATCTTTGAACTCCGGCCAAGAACGTATTCCGACGTAACATTTCCCACAACTACAGCCATTTTTCCTGGAATAGCATAGATGTTTAACTAATCTCAAAGGGATGGTCACTTACCAAGGATGTCGTCAAACGTGGCATGTTCATGGTCCTGGAAAGAAAAGAGTAAGATGGTTATTTTGCAAATAAAATCCAAAAAGTAAACTCAACCATAGCATTAAAATATAAGTTAACTTACATCAGGATGTCTATCTGTCTCAGTTTCTTTCTGTTTCTGTCCGTATTGTACTCTATCTTTCACCTAGTGCATTTTCCATCTTCTTCCTAGGTTGTATTGCAATTGCAGTTGGGCTGAGATTGACAATTGAGTTGAAACGAATAAATCTAATAGGACTTTTTTGACTTATCACAGTTTTCACTGAAATGTGATTGTATTTGGTTGGACGTTAACTATACGCTTACTCTGCAAAGTGCCCAGATTTACTTATAATGTGAGTCAGCATGAATTAAAACTGATTTTCTTTGTATGTATTGCATTATACGGCACAAAGACAGATGAAATCCAGATGAAAATTAACTGGTTTAGCTTGTTACCATGCTACACCTGAGGCTGATGGGAATATTTAATATTGAATAATAAGCCATGCCTGAATAAAAAGCCATGGAATCAGCTAAATAGTTAGTAAATAAATTAGAATTTATCCTCAGAAGGGTACAGACGTGAGCAGAGCATTACAGTAAAGAAAATTATGAGCTAAATCTTTACAGTAGCCCTGTTCCGTTCTACTCTGAAGGCTGTCATGGAGTCGGCATTTTGTTGGATTCACATAAAACTGAATCACTTCTAACCTACAAAGAATTTGGAGATGGACCAGCAGATCCCTGTCTGTGCCGCGACCCACCCGGTGGATTTTGGCTTTGCTTGAAAGAGCTCTACCTTGCAAACCTTCTCCTCCTCCTGAGAAGCAACACCGGCTTGGTGCACGGCCTTTGTGCGTTCGCCACAGCACAAACACAAATATGGTTCTATCCATGTCATAAACCTTTTCCTATTTTGGTCCACCACCAGGCCGTCTCCCTCCAGACTTACAGCTAGGGTCTACCTGGTTCCTATCATGAACATCTCCTATTTTGTCCTCTGTCAGGCCGTCTCCATATTTCCTCCATAGCTTGAGCATCCTCCCTACGCTCTACTTTAGGAATGTGTTTTCTCAAATGTTTATACTCTACAAACAGGACAGTCTGTGCTTAACTCGTTGGCTGCCAAAGACGTCTATAGGCGTCAATTCAAATACAACGGTTGACTGCCAAAGACTTCTATAGACGACTTTTATGTTTTTCAACGAGAGTGGCTGGGGGACGATCTGCTAAAGCTTGTCCGTAAATATCAGGCTTCTAGACAGAGTATGTAGTAACAAATTGACCCTCTAGGTGGCAGTGCCACTTTTGATGGGAGATGAGCATAGACTGTAGGCAAATAAGAAAAAGCTAACGGTTCGCTATGAGAGAACATGTCGCCGGTGAGACGCAAGTCGAGGAAGAACGGAATAAGGTAGAAACACATTTTTTTTCCTGATGAAAGAAGAGAGTCTACTCTTTCTTTTGGTGTGTTCGCTGTTTACATAGTCATAGCACAAACTATTCTGTGGCTCTTGAAAAATCAGTCAAAATGCTCAAAAAAACTCTGGCAGTATGGGACTCTCTGTTCTGAAAATGGCTGGCAGTCAATGAGTTAACTGTGAGCTGCAGACACTACAGCTTCATTCGGGCAAAAAAAGGAATTTTCCATTCTCGAGTTAAAAAAACGTCGGTGACCGTGTTGTTGCTGCTTTTTGCTCGTGAACGTAAAGAAACGCTACTTTTTTTTATCGGCGTTACGGAATAAAGTGCAAGAAATGAGGCTGAGAGGTGACTGTCATTAAAGGAATCAACCCCAAAATGTCCGCAACCCCATTAAGGAATAACTGGTAACCATAATGGACCCAAAAATGTTTTCAAATCTATGCACATCATTCCACGCTTGTGGATTCTTGTGTGACTCACGTAGAGGATGGGGATGATGGACGGGTCGTCCCTGCGGATGATGTTGGGAACGTATTCTGCTTTGGGTACCTTGGAGGATATCAGCTTTGGAAGAAAAGGAAACGTGTCAGGGAAAAAACTTCGACGACGCCAGGACAATTTCGGCCGACTCTCGGGAGACCGCACCATGATTTTGGGCGGGACGAAGTCCTCCCCTTTGCAGGCCGCTCTCTCCGCGTCTCTCTCCTCCTCCCAGTCGGTATCCTCATCCGGCCCTTCATCCAGAGTCCCTGAGGAGGCTTGAAGCTCGCCACCTGGCTCACACAAAGGGCGAGATGAAAGGAACGACACACACACCGGATTAGAGATGAGGGGGCGCGCCTTTTTAAAAAGCACTGCACCTGCTATTTCATGTTCCCCGCACAGAGGAGGGGGGGGGGGGGGGGGGGGAGGCAGACGATACAGAGCGACACGACTCGGCCTCCTTATGCAACCTGGCCGATACACACAGATAAAACAGGCAGATGGACGGCAGGCCGCGGGATGGAAACAGGCGGCGTAGATGGATGGTCGACGGCCCGGTCACTGCAGACTGACCAGCACACGGAGAACACACACACTGACGGGGGGGTGTTTGTGTTGGTCTGAGTCCGTCAGCCGGCCAAAGTGTGCGTTTTTCCCCTTTTTTTGTGCACTTCTCGCCTGTAGTCGTGGTGCGTTTGAGTGCCTTGTGTGTGGTGGGACCACACAGGTTTAAGTTAGTGTAGGTTGTGTGTGTGTCGTTGTGTTTCTGTGGGTGTGAGCAACTGAGAGCACATGGACTCACTGTCTCTGGAGTCATGGAGTGACTCGGGCTTGACCGGGGTGGGGTCACTCCACGAGCGGCTGAAGCTCTTGGCACGGCGGTCAACGAAGGCTGATGGGGTTAGGGGGGAGAGAGTCACTCAAAACACACGTCCACACTCTCCAAATCATAAGCCCTCCTCCTGTCACTGCAGTATTTAATAGCGCATTGGCTATAACTTTCCCTTAAGGCCATGTTTTTAAGAAGACTGACCCACAGTTGCCATTTTCGAACAGGAAGTTTGCAGGTAGACTCAGTTTAAGGCCGGATGACCACACCTATCAACACTTTTTCTATCCAATAGCACTGTAAATGTGGACTTGAAGGGGGAAAAAACTATTTAGAATTGGGTACATTTGCAACTGTGAGTCTTACAGGCTGAATGTTTCAAATAAGTCAGAAAATACTTAAACCCAAGGTAATGTACTGAGTCCCAAACAAAGCAATATCTTATAACAGGATTAAATCAGTTCATATATAGACTGGTTTGCTTGAATATTCACTAAAATCTCTTATATATGATAATATAAACAGCTTTGACAGAGCCATTTTGACAGAAATATATTTGTTTGTATGGTCCATGTCACTTTTGTTCAACATATTCTTATTGTTTAAGCCCAAACCAGACAGGGGCTGAAATCCATGGCTGCTTTTACTTTAAAGGCAATGGACTGAAAGGTAATTTATTTTAAATCAGTTGTATTCATAAGATGGTTTCAATTTCTTTTTTCTTTTTTTTCTTAAAAAAAATTGCAATTTAATGTAAATTGGGGAAGTCTCCAGCGGCTAGTTCAGTCAAGTACAGTTTATTAAGTTTTTGTGATAAAAGTTTAAGAATCTCTCCTATCAATTTGATAAAGCAGTACAATATGATTTATCCAACAGAGATAAGTGCAATTATCTGACTTGACAGAAGTAATAAATAGTTTTGGTGTAAACATGAACTATTTAACTAATTCACAGAAAAATTCCATTAAGTTCTGGCATTCATAAAACAAAACACAGACATACTCATGTAAAAAAACACCACATTTACACTGGAAGTGATTGTACGAGGTTGCATAAAAATGGTTGGTCTGCTCAATGTGACAAAAATGACAATTCTCACAGTAGGATGTGGAAGATGGAACATAAAGTTTATCAGCAATTTCTTGCAAAGAGATCTTAAAAATCTCATTCTATTGCACACAGCATTTGCATAGACATGCTAACATACATCTGGCCCATGCACGAAGCATGAATCAAGTCCCGTGGACATAATCTATGATGTCGTGGGACATATTTTAGCACAGAGAAAATGGATGAAATACACTGACACCATCAGACACGTATGCAGACGGATGAACTGGAACACTTACTCTGGACCTTCATCCTACGGCTGCCCACCATCCTAAGGTGTTTGCGGAAATTTCTAACAGTTAAGAGAAGCAAAAGAAGAGACACATCAAGAATGTGTGAGAAAGCTCGATTTCCATCTGGATTAAGGAGCAAAACTGGACAAAAACACCCTTTACATGCACATTCAGGACCTCATTGCATCGTATATAAGCATTTTTTTCCAAGTGCCAGCATTTGTACTACTCTTTGTAGTCATATTATATCTCAATATAGCCATCATAACAGAGGTTGACCCATAAAGCTGCTCTCATTTTTGCATTTCTGGTGTCAGATAGCAAAATGAGTCTTATATCGTGACCACGGAATCATTTTTAAAAAATTGGATGACTCAAAGCTGCTTTTTCTGCTTTTCTTTGTTGCTTACTGAGCTGAGACATGTTAAAAAAAGAGATATTTCCTCTGCTGAGGTATAGCACACTCAAGAGAGAGACTTTTTTTTCCAAAATCCAACTTTGCATGATTCGCTTTGTAACACTTGGGGGGGTAAGGATTAATTTCGAGAGAATAGGATCAGAATAAATAGATGGCATAGAAGAAGAGATAAGACAGAATGAAAGAAAACAAACAGTGTCATGGTCCATCTGACTGTCACTATCACATTGATACTGTGTGCTCAGATTTCTGCTCCTATTTCTGCAAGTTTTAAGGTGAAACTATAAAACCAAAAGCTTTTAGTAACATAGCAATCTGGAGCTGGTTTGTGTTACAAATGACTGGTGTTTAAATCTATGCCTGATCAGAAGCAATTACAAATAATCTGTGGAGTTGGCGTACAAAAACCTCACAAGGATTTAGATAAACAAAGGAAATAATCCGATTTCTTCAGGGATTTTGGCACCTAGTGGGTTTTAGACTTCAAGAGAGATTTTAGACTTCAAATTGTATCTTTTTTTAATCTTCCAGGCATTTTAAAGCTTGAATAATACGTTTTGCAGACATGATTTTGTCAGGTCTGGGAAAGTATTAATGATTTGGATGGGTTGCATAATTGTGGAGATAGATATGTGGTTAAAAGTAACAAGCTTATTTTCTGTCCCGACAGTAGTATTATACTTTTTTCTCATTTTCATTTGTAAAAGGGGTTTATAGGAAAAAAAATGGATGTTTTAACCTCTTTCAAATTAACAACACAAAAGGAGTAGCAAAGTTTTACATCTGGACAATGTTTTCTGTTCTTTGTATATGATTAACACAAAAAATAGGTTTAAATACATCTTAAAAAACAGAGAGTGAGGATGCTCTGATTAATCAGAATCAGAAATACTTTAATAATCCCCAGAGGGAAATTATGATAATAAATTTGGCCAAACTGAACCGTAGTTTCTCTTGGCGTTACACAGAAGGGAAGGACACGGATATAGCCTCTAAATCTTAGTATATGCTGTACCCACGCTGTAGTTCGGGGCATAAAACAGACGGGTGACATGTCAGTGTTGACTGCGGGAGCTGCGAAGGCAGATCCAAAAATAGAGGGATGACTCAGAGAGGAGGGGGATCCATCCGTCAGTCACTCAGTCAGCGTCGTATTTTCAGACTGACTGACAGCAACTCCCCGAAATCACCACCTCCCACACGTCAGATTACCAAGTCAAATCCATGAAGTATGTGTGTCTGAAAACATGTCACCTCTGTATTGTTTCCTATTATCACCTTTTCCAAGATTAAAAAAAGAGAAGTGGAAATACTGCTTAACCAAATGGCATTAAAACATCATTCTATTTGCAAAACTATCAAACGCATTGCATTCCGATTGTACAAGACACAATTAACACACACACACACACACACACACAAGATCAAACAATGTCTGACATGTCTCAGCCTTGGTGGATGTGAACATGTTGTCAGATTTGTGGTCTCCCTGCAATAGCAGAGGTTTGATTTTTTCCTTAAAGAGTAGCTGACTCTATAAGTTGGATGACCGACTGCATATGATATATAAAAATGGCCGAAATTACAATGACAGCTGCGTCGTAAAAAGAGGGCTTTATGTTTGAACTATCATTGTTATCTCACGCAAAAGGAGCTGATTTGGTTTCTTACTCTAAAGAAGTAAGATGTTACTCCCTACAGCTAACCAAGATGTGATAACGTTATAGAACCTCTTCTGTGTTGCTGAGGAAACCCTGATCAGTCAGTTTCCCTTCCACAACTTTAGACCATGGTACTCATGACGTGGTTTTGAATTTTATTCAGAAGTGTAATTGAACCATGTTTGACTTTTTTAGTTAGACGGCTTGTTGAAATTGCATAAAATACAGAGAAGAGGTCGGGAAGGTGTGTGTGGTGGTTAGCATAGCCAGAAGGTTCTGGGTTTGATTCCCTCGGGGTAACCAGGACCTTTCCGGGTGAAGTCTGCATGTTCTCCTGTGTCTGTGGGTTCTATCCGGGTTCTCCGGCTTCCTCCCACCGTCCAAAAACCTGCATGCTAGGTTGGTTGGACATTCCAAATTCTCCTTAAGAGTGAGTGTGAGTGGTTGTTGGTCCTTGCGTGTCTCTGTGTGACCCTGAGATGGACTGGGGGACCGTCCAGGGTGTGCATCTCGCCCATTGACCATTGGGATAGGCTCTAGTTCCCCCCGCGACTCCATTAGGGAATTAGCGGTTACGATAATGGATAGATTGAGAAAAGAGGTCAAAAACCAGGACCAGGCCAATGACCGTGAAGCAAGTTTTTCTCTCAACAGAACAAAAGAAACATTTTAACATGTGCTCAAAAATGTCAGCTCGTGATTAACTTGAAGGTGACAAAAACATTTTAGAAAGTGAGATAGAGGCAACATCAGCCTGCAAAAATAGGTTGTACAAAAAAAAAACACCAAAAAAAACAGGAGGGTCACGTTCAAAATCAACAGGTTAAATAGCATCAATAATTTAACCCCTTGTAGAGGGACAGGCTTTGTGAAGATTGGACTTAAGCTCCATAATCTGCCAATAAATGCATCAATAAATTGTGAAGCACTTGCAGAATACTGTTTCTCACAGCAGAATTACAGAAATTTAAAATACAAAATAAAGATTCAGTGAAACTTCTGTGTGTACGGGGCAAAGACCAAGGAAAGTGCTTCAAGATATAATATCAAACAATATGTAAGAAAAAGAAAAAAAAAAATTATTTTTCACTTTCAGAAATCATTGTATAGAAACACAATTCACCTTTCCCTCCACACATATAGGTTAAATTTGTATTATTATGCAAAGCGAAAGTGGTAGTTGAAGTTTATCCATTTTTCAGGAAATAAATAAATGTGTAACTTTAAACTTCTGTTTAAAGTGAGTTTCTGTTTAAAGTTTTATATATATAATGAGAATTAAATATTGGTTTGTAAAAATCCTTTTAGTTTTTATTTGTACTTTGCATCTCCATGGTTACAGCAGAGTTTAGCCTTCCGGTTACCACAAAAAGTGCATGTAAGTATGCACCGAAATCAGGTCAGATTAAATACCTGATGAGAGTTTTGATTTGTTTAGATAAGCATTCGTTTTTTTTTAGGAAAGAAGTGCAAGTCCAACAGGGACGAGTCGGCACCACACAGGACAGGACAGGACAGCCATGACACAGTACCTCTCCATCATGGTGGCTGCCTCCTGCTCTCTTTTCCGTCTCTTTCTCTCAGCATTGCCTCGGAAAGCCCTGCCAGGATGTCAAAGCGTTAAGCGGTTTGTCTTTAATGTTTAACGAGCATTCGGCCCCAAAACCAAACAGTAAAGATTGGTATTTGTCTGAACCCAAACTGACCCAAGGGGTTCCGAATCTTCTATTTTAAATGGATTTTTTTTTATTAGGTCTTCATCGTCTTGTTGGTCTGGTGTCCACATGTAGGATTGAGAAACTGACCCTTTGCATCGAGTTGGGTTCGGGCACATTTAAGGATGGGGGAGCGGAGAAGGTGTTAAGGGTGAAAGGTTTAGGTTTGGGAGGGTTGGTGAGAGTTTAGATTTAGTGGGAAGAGTTAGCATGTGAGGACATTTTTTATCCACTGGAGGCAGAAAACACTGTGGTTTGAATGCTCACACTCATACAAATACACACACACACACACACACACAGGGATCACAAAGAAGAAGGAATATATAACAAGAAACACAGAGGAAATTTCTCAGAAATTGCACTAAATATTAAAAAATGAGTGTCAGTTGATAATAAAGTTACCGGTATTAGTCAAGTCAAGGTACTAATGACTACCTGGCATGTGTGTTATTCCATTTATAGACTCATTTCAGGCCATTTTGATATTCAGTATTTTCCATTTTGAACATGTAAATCTAGACAACGTGGGTGGACAATAATGGTTCTGACAACATGTCAGACATAATGAGAATGGGCTGTGACAGTGAATGTCAGGAATGAAGCAAAGTCCGGTGGCCTGGTTTTGATGAGTGACAGACGGACGGACAGCTGACGAGCTCTGAGACGACAAAACAGCCGACCGGAGTCACTTAAGCCTGCGTGCTGCCCATTAGCCAAAAAGTCCACAAGGCTCTGATTTTTTTTTCTTTTGCTATTACAAATCATGTCTGTCCTTCCTGAACTCATCCATTTGCAGTCCCGCTCCACCATCTGCCACCACTAACACTCCGAGAGGTGACAGTCGGCTCCTTTTAGTGCTGTTTTTGTGCTCCAGCACTTTTTCCTGTGAATTTTAACATTATTTTGGAAAGAAAACATACTACACTTTGGGCCGATCAAACGTTAATCAACAGGATACCCCTCTGGGAACTGACCTGACCAGGGCAACATGTGCACTGGTTCCATTGTCGCTGTGTAGTTTTAACAATGAAAAATATAAAGTAACTTTTAAAACTTACTTTGAAATCATGGCTAAGATACAGCTTCTGTATTTTCTTTAGATTAAAGCCAAATAATACATCATGTTAAAGTTTAATCTCTCAACCCTTATTGGTAATTCCAAAAATTTAAATAAATAAAATAAAAAAGTGTGTGGCTGATGACACTACTTCCTGTTTTTCTTTGTCCAAAAACAACATGAAATTAAATGAATGCATCTGCAATAATAAATAATAATTTTGGTAGTAAACTCCAGGTAGAGATGTTGCCAGATTTAGCCACAGTTTTGTTGCCCATACTTAATAAAAGACATTAACAAGCAAAAAATAGTAATATTTTCTGGATAACCTGCGATACCTAAACAAGAAAAACAAACAAAACAAACAAACAAAAAAGATTTTAGCCAGTGATCCTAACAGGACCTGGTCTAACCTAGCCTATACTAAAAATAACATACAGAAAAAGGAGCATGTGGAGCTTCTGAAGGAAACATTGGAGACATCTCTGAAATTTCTCTGAGTGTTTATCAGCCAAAATCATTTAAAAAAAAACCATGTCATTAATTAACACGGACTTAATCAGCCAAAACATTTTCTAAGTCTATAAAAACCCTTACAGTGCTTTCAAAACTCTTTCCTTAATGGCCTGATTTCAGACTTCACGTCAGACCTGTTTTGTCGTCTGAGAACAGAAGAAGAAGAAGAAGAAGAAGAAGACTATTCTAATGAGAGCAGCTTTATTGAGAATTAGGCTGTATAAAGATGGAGGATAACATAACCTAGGGTTTTGCTTGCTCCAGCCCTTGACATCTGTTTTCTTCTTGATTAAACAGAATACACAAGTACAATCATAATGTCAGGGATTTGCTAATTAGCATGTTTTAATGTTGCATCTAACAGCATTCAGAGAGTTTTAGCCACTTTATTCTGTAGAAATTAGACTTATTGGAAGTCAGTGCCCATACCTGCATACAAAGGCTGAATATAAACTTCAGGTTTCTCTAAGATGATTTATTTTTATGTTCAAGTATGTATGTAAACTGACTTCTAGCTCATAACATTGATGCTGCACAAATGTCGTATTATCATATTCATGAGGATATTCAATGTCCATGGTTGGATTCAAACAGTAGAACTAGCTCTGGTTCAAACAAGAGGCTTTGATCAGAGTGTTTTTCGTGCTGGTAGCATCAGGTAATGGCTTTAGCCTTCAGGTTTGTGATTCTATTTTGCTAATGTCAGATACCTCAGGGACAACTAGAAGCCAGGCACTGACACATGTAAACAAGGCTTAAATATTCGTTCGGGCATGCTCAGTGGAGTGTGACTGTGAGCTCTCACAGGACTGAAACCATGTTGTTCCCGCCCTGAACTTAAGCTGATAGCGACAAAAACCTAACACTCAGTCAGAGGCCGTCGGGGTTCCAAACGTATCAGAGCGACTGGCACGAGTCCACACGAGGAGAAAGGGATTAAACATATCACTGAAGAGACAGAGTGAGGGAAAAAAAGGCAGAGCAACAAGGAAGAGAGGGGGCGTTTGAGAGAGCTACTCACGATATTCTACAGTCGTGGTTTGGAGAGCCGCCATTGTGAAGAAGGAAAGGGAGAGAAAACGTAAGAGAAGTTAGTAGCAGGGCCAGAAAAATACTCTACATTTACACACATATACAGGCATGTAACATGCACGCTATTCATTTCATCTTCACAAGATGAGATACTGCACATGTGACCTGATATAAGTCGCAAAAAAACCGGATCAGCGAACGTGGACACGACAAAAACTGCGACACAACAAAGGTGTTAGAGGTCCCGGACATCGGCTTGCCATTTTAATCAAAGGCCATGTCAGAGCTATGCGTCAGTTTGACCCCGATAGGGACGCCAGCAGATGGGAAACCAGGCGGGGAGACGGTGACGCATGGATGGAGAAAAAAAAAGGGAGCGAGACGGTGGAGGGGGAGTATTGTGACTCATTATTATCAGATCAGGGTGATAGGTGATAATTAACTCTTCTCCCAGACAAGAGCCCGCATGTGTGTGTGTGTTTGTGGGGATGCGTCCTAAATAGATCCAGCAGCAGAATTCTTGATGTATAGTTTAAAAAAGCACATATGTCGTTTCTGGGGAAAAGGAAGGTAAAGATTTATTATTATCACATTTTTGTACTTAACTATTTTCAAAAGAAAATAGTCTTTTTTTTTCTTTTTTCTGTTGACCTTTGAATTATTAAAGCATTCTATTTTTTAAGTCAAGATACAATAACGTTGTCTGTACACTTGGGGACAACTTTACAAAGAACCAATTAGAGATTGTGTACCTTTAGGCACCTTGTGACCACAAAGACAAATCATTTCTCCCCATTGATTTGGTCCCAAAATAACACAGTTTGACTGATGAAAAATACTATTTTGGTTCAAATGAGGTTATCTCCTGAGAGTTATTAGTTAAAAACTTGGCATATCGCAAGCTTTAAAATGTATCTACAGGAAGTGAATGGTATCCTAAAGTAAACTTTTGCTCCTGTTTTCGATGTTCCCTTTATACTGGATATAAAGACATGTGTGTTTGGCTCGAGACGTTTATACAGTACTGAAAATCAAAATATTAATCTGTTTTTAGCTTTTCTATCAGGATGACAGGTATCTTTCCTCACTATTTTACATCGTATATACTACATTTGATATACAGATGTCTGAGGCCTATTGCAGCTTCATATAGTCAAAAACGTTATTTTCTAAAATTGTATATAGATTTCCTGATAATAATAAGACGAAGAAGGAAATGAAGAACAACAATATGATTTCATGTTTTGCAATTTAGTAAATGGTAAAAATTTTGAGAAAATATTTATTAAATTTAAATAATAAGACGTTGTGTAATCGCATTTGTTTTGTTTTTGTTTGTTTTTTTCGTTTTTTTACATTTGGTAAAGAATCTAATAAAGACTTACGGCAAAAGCAAGGTAGAATTTCATTGAATTTTTTTCTTGGGTCAGATCTCAATAGAGATCTCAGTACACCTGAGCTTCCTGCTACAGAAAAGCAAAATAACTCCAAAGTGCAGGAAGCTATTATTGTTGGCACTATTATGTAACCATCTGTTGGAGTACACACATCTGCAGGAAAGGTGGAACTATCTCCCGGGCTGTTGTAAAACACATTATATGTATTTTAAGAACTACAACTTCATAAAAAGCTTGAATTGCTGTGGTGTGAAAGCTCATTAAGCGTAAAACGCCACATTTCTGAGCACTGGAGGAAAAAAAAAGGCTGCCAAATCGCTGCTGATCCAGTAAAGTGATGAACAGAGTGGGAGTGGAGGTGGATTTCCGCGCCATACTCACGCCTGCATGGTGGTGGTGGCTGTCTGAAAGCTGAACATATTCTCTTTGGGGAACCAGCTATTAGGATTGTCCTCTGAAAAGAAAGACGACAAAAGGAGGGGGGGGGTCAGGCTGCAAAGCATGTAAAAACCGGCCTTATAATCAAATAAAACCATTACAGAGTTTGTTTCTTAAAAAGTTAAGGGTGGGTTTATATTGATGTGCACATTGATGTACAGTAACGAAGTAGAACCACTTAAGTACTGTACTTAAGTGCCAAAATGCAGTATCTGTACTTCATTGGAGTATATATATTTTTTCGTACTTTTACTTTTACTTCACTACATATTTTTGATTACTTTAATACTTTTACTCCGATCGATATTTCACGGGCTGAATCGTTACTCGTTACTGGTATATAAACGTAACGATTCATCCCCAAGTCTCTGTCCCGGTTTGGGAAGCTGGCTCCTCATTGGGCGATTTGAGCAATCAAGCATGGCCTATAAAAAAAATGCCTCCCGAAAGATTGCGAAATCACGGGCTTCAAAATTTTTCCATCTAATCTGAAGAAGCACATCAAGGTAAATTGAAAAATACAATGACATATAAGCTAGTAAATAAGCGCTAGTTCTCCCTAACATTACAGCTAACATTAGCTAAAGCAAACCTAGCTGGCTAGCAGTATTCCCCCCCATTACATGATATTATAAAGGCTCAGCTCATGATTCTGACACTGGAATAATAAATAATAGTAGATGAAGTGCTGTTGATTGCTAATTTTAATTAATTTCTCCTTGGAGATCAATAAAGCATAAAGTATTCAATAATGCAGATGTAGTTTTCTGTTTTTTGTAAACACCTGTATGCCTAAACACCTAAAAGACTTCATGTTTTATCTGTATGATAGTTCTTTCAAGTTGATCTTTTTAAGTTTATTTTAATTGTCAGTTTCATTAAACTAATCAAGCTGAAATGACTGGTTTGTTTGTATTATTATGCATTGTTTACTGGAACTGCATTAAAATGGTTAGATGTTTTTATATCAAATATATCAAATATAGAAATAATATAAAAAATATCAATCAAACTTTTGACTGCCTTTTGTTAAATCATACTTTACTTCTACTTGTACTTTTGATACTTGAGTAGCAATTTTTGAAATACTTCTACTTGCAATACTTGTGTACAAAAAAATGGAGTACTTCCATACTTCCACTTAAGTTTGGTGTTGAAACACTTCAACTTTTACTCAGGACAATCTTTTTAAGTATTACTTGTACTTCTCCTCCACTTCTCTCCTCCAACCCTTTACACATCTCTGATCCTCACCCCTGTCTTCGGTAGAGGTTCTGTCCTCGCTGTACATCCTCTCCAGTTTCTTGCGGTGCTTGCCCCCGTCCCGGGGCGAGGTGTCCAGGTCCAGGGAGCGCTGGCTCTGGCAGGGGGCGCGGATGCAGGCCACGCAGTCCGGCGTGTAGTCCTCCCTGGACGTGCCCCTCCTCAGCCCCCAGTCCCCGATGTTCCCGGCGCTCCTGGAGCTCTGCAGGGGCTGCGGGGCCGCCGCCCCCCCCCCGCCGGGCGGCTGGTTGCCGTGGTGATGGCCGCTGCGGTGGTGCCCGCTGCGGTGGTGGCCGGCCCGGGCCGTGGCCGAGGCCGGCTGGCTGGTGCAGGACGGGCCGTCGGGAGCCCGGTGCACCGGCTGCTCCCTGGGAGCCTTCAGGACGTCCAGCTCCAGGCTCTCCTGGCTCTCCTGGCTCCCCGGGTCGCCCAGCGTCATCCCGCTCTCCCGGGTGATGGTGTAGACCCGGGCCGGCTTCACCGGGACGCCCCCCCCCTCCGGGGGGGCGGGCTCCTCGGCCGAGAGGCTCCGCCCCACGGACAGCCGGCGTTTGGGGGGGCCCGGAGGGGGCGGGGCCCGGAGAGAGCCCAGCCGAGGCGGAGCCCCGGGGTTGGTCTGAGCGGGTTTGGGGACGGGCAAAGCGCGGCTCTGGGGGGGCAGGTTGTTGTTGTGCAGGCGGCTGATGTCTGGGGAGTCACAGTCCTGGCCCGGGAAGGTGTCGGACAGGAGATGATCTGGAGGACGAGCCAAAGAGGAAGGAAGGAAGAAAGAAAAACACCATTTTACGTAAAAAATGTACACAAAGTTATTTATCATATATGGGTACAGTTCTATTTATTTCTAAAGGAATTATCTAAAGGTCAGCTTGTGGCTTACCAAGACACAACAAAACCTCGTTTTTATCTGAAAAATGGACGGGACCAAAGAATGGACTAAAAATGAGAGAAAGAATGAGAAGTTTCAGAGGAGGTGATGCTCAATATCAGTTCATTTGAAAGTAAATCAAATTCCAACCCCAAAAAATTGAAACAAAATAAAAAAGCCATACTAAAAATAACACATTTAACATTTAGACATTTCATCTAATTAATGAAATCATTAGACATCTTTCAAAGTGCTACAGAGAGCAAAAAAAAACCTTTAACACCATTTGTTTCTACACTTTGTTCCGGATGTTTCAACAAGACTTTTCAACAAGACTTTTCCAAAAACTGGCTTTAGCTTTTGTGGGAAAATAGATATTTTAGATATTTGTGTTGGGGTTTAACGTTCCCTGACAAAATAAAGTGTTGTTGGGCTAAACGGTGAACCCCAATGACTCCATAACTGCATTAATCTGTGTGTGTGTGTGTTGTAATCAGTGTATTTTAGCTTGTATGGACTAAAAGTGCTCTGTGTGAATCGGTTTGTCAAATTAAAGCGCTTTGAGTCATCAAAAACTGTAAAAGCGCTCCACGAACGCGACATATCCACTGGAATACTTTACCTTAGCGTGCAAACCCACCCATTGTGGTTTTAAATACCGGCACCTCTTGACCCCTTTTGCAGAGCATTAACACCGTCGGCGCAGTGTTTGCCTGGTATTTGCCTCACTTTGTCTAAAACAACCCTTCTGCTCACTCACCCCTCCAGCTTACATAATAAAACGCTGTAGCATTCAAATTTCGAGCACTCAAACAAAATGACTGAAGGTAAAATGGTGCAGTAGGCTGTAAACATAAGGCCTGCTTGATTAACCGGGTTTTCCAGCGACCAGCTCAAAGCAATTTTCAGCTCCGTTTTTCTAATATATTCCAAACTTTCACTGGTGAATCACTTAAAGGCTCAGCACTGCAGTGATGAAGAATCTTTGTTCGTTCTTTTTTTCTTCTGAGGTCGTGATGCGTGGAGTCTGAGCATGATCATCGGGGTAAAACACACACACACACACGCCGTTTCCCTTTTGTTGTGTGACGATGTCAGAGTGTGTGCGGGTTCACCTACCCGCTCCGTTCCGGTTCTCTTGATTTGTATTGGACAGATAGTCTCCGAATGCTTTGGCTGCTCTGTGGAGACAAAAAAAAGAAAATAAAACAGTTAACCTGGAGCCCTGCTGTTCAGCAAAGTGAAGGTTTTACTGGAATTTCTTCCCGTAGACAGGCTGTCCAGTCGTTTTTCTCTCAGAAACCTCTTTATTGCAGGCAGGTTTCTCCACCTGACTAATGTATATGAGGACATTTTATTGTGGGGTCATGAAAGTCATACTATATAACAGCAATCTCTCACCGGGGGGGTCATTCCGGTTCCAAATAGTGATAGAAAAACTGGAAAGCATTCTGGTAACCACAGCTTTCCTCCTCTGCTCATATGATAAGCCTCTTAAGTTACAGGTACAATAACATATCATGTCACATCTACAGTGTATGACTGAGTTTAATTCAACTAAAAAAAGTCTTCAATATATGCAATTGTAAAACCTCAACTCAAGTCAACTCAAACTTTATTTATAAAGCACATTTAAAAACAACCGGGGTGGACCAAAAGTGCTGTTCAGATATCACAGTTGCAGGAAATAAGGTAAAAGCTAAAAAGCTAAAATACTTAACCCTGTAATGCCAAATGTATCATATTTGATTCATACGGTTTCTGAAATCTTTTGCGTCTGACTCCTTTTGCATAATTTAATGGTAAAAACTTTGCTCAAAATCCTATTGTACACAATCAGATACACCTGATAACAGGGGGAAGGAGACTACACAAAAAATAATCTGGTTTTATCGCATAGTGATAAATTATTAATATTAAAAATGTATTTCTGTTTTTTCTTTTTATATATTTTGTTAAAAGGCCTAATAAAGACTTCAATAAAAAAAAAAGTAATTTTCTGTTTTATTTTATCCTTGGATCAGGCTTTAAAGGAATAAACACAATGCAATCAAACAGAATGAAAATGAAATAGAATAAAATAAGTTCAAATGTAAATAAAAATGTAAATACAACTTTTTGCCAGACGTCCACTTAGACTTGATTAAAAGCCAGGGAGAAGAACCCGGTAAATTATCCCGGTAAATTCTGAATAACAAGGTTAGTCAGGTTAGTTTTTTCTGACTTCTGTCATTCACAACCAGATTCATGGACCAGTAAGACCAGTTTGAATTCAATAAGGATGAACAAACGCTGCTTAATTCCTGTTGTACTGTTGTCTTTTAGACCACTGGGATAGGCTCCAGTTCTCCCTGTGATCCCATTAGGGAATAAGTGGTAACGATAACGGATGGATGGATGGATGGATGGATGGATGGATGGATGGATTGCCTGTTCTCAACCACCAGTAAGACTGGTCGAACTGTTTTTCTATTACATAAATCAATTTATTTAGCTGTTCCTCTGCTGAAAGAGGATCGTATGTTCAACACAAATTTGACAGAAGACTTTGGCCACCCACTAATACACCTGAAGAGAGGAAGCTAACCCCTAATCACTCTCCTCCCACTCACTCTGACCTCCCATTCCTGCAGTCTGCACACGCATCCACACACACTCCCGCACCCGTAGTGTGTGCACGTGGAAAAAAAGGAATTAGCCATACGCACGCAGCATGCCTTTAGCATACGCTAACCTCACAGGGCCTGTGGCACAGTGTGTTTTTACCTTCCTCCTACAAGACTGAGTAATTAAACGCTGGATGGCTCGTGCAAAACCATCATTCCGCATGAAAACTCCTGCCCCCCCCCACTAACACGGCCCTAATAATGGAGGGGGAGGGAGGAAAAAGGCAGCAGGGGGGAGAAATGCAACCATCTCTGATCTATCTGCTTGAATCAGACGAGAATCTCTCGTGCTTCTTTGGGGAAATAAGGATGCTAAAGCGTCTCGCGCATAAACGTGTATGCTGAACTACTTAAAAACCAAAAGGAATCGCCTCCAAATATCTCGTCCTGATATAAAATACGGCATGAAAACGCAAAGGTTAAGCTCTGGAGAATGGTTTCCTGTGATCCTTCATTCATCTCAGTAATCCTCTTTAACTGTAACAATCACATATTTGACCACTGGGACCTTTTGATCATACTTTTGAATATAAACTTCATTTTTATAAGACTAAAAACCAACGTCAAATCAAGAGATGTTGTCTCATAAGCTTTGCTGTCGCGATCACACTAGTGTGTTATTATTTGTGTTTTCTTTTAGGTCTCTGAAACACTAAATCTACTTGCGTTGGAGACATAAATTATACATCACACACTCTGGCTGTGACCCTAATGCAGCAGCTGCATACACAGGTTGCTCCTCGCTCTTCAAACTGTTCCTTTCCCCTTTTTTCCCCCGCATGTTTCCAGACATGTGACGTGAAAAAAAGCGAAACAAAAGAAGATGAGAAAAAAATCGACGATAGAGCGCCGTGTCTATAGGACTAAAATAGAAAAAAAATAAGGAGTAAGAGAGTAAGTGGTGGGATGAGGAACTGAGGGAAAGCAGTTAAGGGGGAGACTATTTAATAAGAGGCAGAGGTGGGGAACAAGCTGGAGACCCACGATCCACAAAAGAGACGATGTTACCCTCTCAAGAGGTGTCAATTCTGTACTACTCCTGCCCTCTCATTAGGAGAGAAGGGGTGGGAGGGCTGCACACAGTACGGCAGGAATAGCAGCGCTTAAAGATGCCTGGGGAGACGTTGACATCACATGGTAGAGGGATGGAAACCAAAGAGCACGCTCAGGAATAAAGCCCGCCTGCTTGACTGGTTTATTTTTTATTTTTTCACTGTATTTTCTGTGTTAAGCGCGTTTTTTCCACACGCAATACATCCTGCCTGCTAAAATATGCAGACTAGGAGTAAATATACAGGTCCTCCATCCATTATCTATACTGCTTATTCCCAGTGGGTCATGGGATGGGGGG